CAAAAGTTCAAATGTTACAAATAAGTTAGAATATTAATGTTGTAATACTGGTAGCACTAATATAAAAATTTGATGTTATATTTTACAAAAAAGTAACAATTTTGAAAAATGCGTTGACGGTTGAATTTTTTTGTTTTTTTCTCAGTGTTCCTATCAATTTTGCATAAAGTTTTTTTATGCATAATAATAATAACAACCCTAGAATGTAATCAAACAGTTTAAAATAGCTGGGCTAAGATATATAACAATTTTTATGACTGCAGAAATATGTTAATTCAGTACTCACCTTAACCCGACTTTAAAATGCGCTCTGCAGAGTGTGACAGAAGCGCAATTGGAGAATCGAACCTTTTCGAAGCTTTTGAATCAATTGAACCAATTACGACAAGACACAGTTGTGACGTCACGAAGCCTAGTTTACTGAAATCGCGTGACTTTGGCAGTTTGATATGCGCTCCGAACCACTGCTTCGACACAAAATTTTCACAAAGGTTTCGATGCTTCGAAAGCGCCCATCACTACAGTGAACATGCATACGATTCCAAACAGATGTGATTCGAAGCAGTAATTATAATAATAATAATAAAAAACACACATATTGTACAGACACTTCATATTTAATGGTATTTTATTATTTCAATTGCATTTAATATATTATACTTTCAATAAAGCATTTGCATTGGGTTTGTAAAAGCTGTTTTTAATGCATGTTTTTTTGCATTTACACAGTTTTGACCAACCGGCGTCACCAGCGTGTGGCGATTCGAATCACTAGAGTGCTTCGAATCAGTGAATCATTTTGATTCGAAGTTCCGAAAAGATTCGTTTTCCCATCACTAGTTCACTGACCACTGAACCAATGTCTATTGTTTTTTTTACCTGATCTCGGATCAGTTGTATTAATTTGTAGAGATTTTAATGAGACATTTGTGTAATTGAAAGGAAGAGTAGTGATTCGAAGCTTCGTTTCGTAGCGCTAGCGTAATTTTTGGCAGGTTTTGTTCTTAAGAAATGTAAAAACACTAGTATTTCTTTCAGGAAATTAACATCTAGAAAGCAAGTTAACTTGCACAGTTAAACAACTGTGACTGTTTTTCATACTCACTTCCATGCATATCCAAACTTATCCAGTCAGTGTGTGTGTTTTTCAAATCGCTTTTCCGTTTGTGTTTTTTTTGTCCCAGCGGAGGTTCCGTCTCAGCTGAGCTGCATGACAGTCACATGATACAGTTTAGCGTTGGTTTATACACAACGTTTCTCAATATATCGACACTCATGCAGGCGTCCGCGGACTGTAAGTGCTATTTATTTGTTTCTTGTTCGAATTCTGTCTATTATCATCAGTGTAATTTAGAAAGCGTCTTGTTTTTAAAACGCAAAGACCGTAAACAGTCCATATAGGTTCGATAAACACCAACATCTTCCTCATTTTGTCATTTGTTATTAGCATTAGCATCTTATACTCATATTAGATTAGTCCTGGATTATCATTTATGTCTATATTTATAAGTAAAGATGCATTTGTAAAGAACTAACCTGATTTCATTTGTTCAAATACGTTTTGTTTTAAATATCTCAAGAGGTTTTAATGGTAAAGAAATGAAATTATTGTCATGGTTTATGAATAATATTATTATATGTTTTGTTTTTCAAGTACTTACAGTTGTTTACATACACCTTACAAATACAATCGGTGTAAACTCATCTTATTTAGTTATTTTTGGGAACCATTTAAATATCTTATGTAGCTTCTAAAGAGCAGACTAAATAATGAAAAGTAAGCTAAATATGTAATGTCTGTTATGTGGAATAGCTTATTCAAGGCAGTGCTAAATACAAACAAATGCATTTTTAAATGAAGTTATTAACATTTTCCTGATTCTGCAATGGTTATGTAAATTTGATCATGATTTGTAGCTATAATAGAGAAGTTTTGTCATATGAAAGTGCATCATTATGACCAGAGCCGGGTAGTAACTGATTACATGTGATCTAGATTACATAATCATATTCCAATATCTTGTAATTAGATTAAATTACATGTTAAAATAGTCAGAATCAGACTGCAGTTACTTTTTATGTATTACATTATCACATATTATTCACACTAGGGATATGCCGGTATCACATTTTCATGTTGCGATTAATTGCTAATGCGTTTATCGCGGTATACGGTATTATCACGATATTTAAATTTAGTTTAAAAAAAGTGCTGTCATAATACAGTATAACTTTTTTCTTATAACAAAAATAACTGAGCATTTAAATGCAATAAAGCAATACAGAAAAATGTATAAAGTTAAAAGTTTTACACAGATTAAAGTGCAAAAGAAATAGCAATAAAAACATTTTTATTCTCCCTAATTCATCCTTTTCATCTTTTAAATGTTCCTTTCTAAAATATCCTACCACTTAATGTACACTCAGAAAGTCTTCCAGTTTTTGATCACTGGATTTACAAAAATCATTTCAGGTTTAAGAAGCGTTTCAACACTGCATTAACTACTGATAAACACATAAATTTTTATTTGAATTATCACTCTGTATGTTATTTAACCATATATTTCTATGTCTTTGGAAGGCTTTTGTCTTTCAAACACCTTAAAATGCACAAATTCACGAATTCACATATTCACAAACTTTTTTGTCATCTGATCCTCTTTCACATAAACTGCATCAACTCCTGATGAACACGTTCATTTTATTTGAATTATCACTCAGTAATTATTTAACCATGTATTTCTATCTCTTTGGAAGGCTTTTGTCTTTCAAACACATTAACATGCACAAATCTCTTTCACCTAATATATTGACTTACTTTATAATTAAAAATGTATTTTATCACATTTGCATTAATGGTCACGTGACATGCAGGTAAACAAATAAAATATTTTATTTTTTAAGTACGTGTTTTATTTTGAAATTATTTATTTTAATTTATCTTTTTTATTTTTTATTTTTTTATAATTATTAGTTTTTCATTAAACTCTCGAACCCAGCTCCTTTACGAACCCCAGTTTGGGAAACTTTGACGTAATGTAAGATTTAATGTAATCCGTTTATTTGATAAAAAATACAGGTGCATCTCAATAAATTAGAATGTCGTGGAAAAGTTCATTTATTTCAGTAATTCAACTCAAATTGTGAAACTCGTGTATTAAATAAATTCAATGCACACAGACTGAAGTAGTTTAAGTCTTTGGTTCTTTTAATTGTGATGATTTTGGCTCACATTTAACAAAAACCCACCAATTCACAACAAATTAGAATATTTTAAAATGTGTATAGGTAGTATTTATAAAGTTTTAGCTTTTAGTTTTGGATCTGTTTTTAGTTGTTTTAATACTACAATTGATTGCTTCTGTTGTCCTCATTTGTAAGTCGCTTTGGATAAAAGCGTCTAATAAATGACTAAATAAATAAATAAGTAATCTAAAAGTAGTCTGATTATATTAACTAAAATGTGTAATGTAATGGATTACGTTACTGACTACAGTTTTTGTCATGTAATCTGGAAGCAGTAACAGATTAGACTCTGTAAGTAATCTCCCAGCTCTGATTATGACACTCAGCATGTGTTGTGTTCATCAGTCGTGTGTCATTGATTGGACTGAAGCGTCATCATGCCTGTGAACGCCGCTGTGATTAGAGGAGTTCAGAAGCTGGTGCTTTATGAGACCAGAGCCGTAAGTCACATTTCAGTCATTATTCACGAAGGATAAATGCATTGCTTTGAGTCTTTTAAATGCATATCGTGTTTATCAGATCAGCAGCTGTGTATGAATATATACTGTACATCCATTCAGGAGATTTCTGACTGTATGAATGTGCATCATATGAAGCTGTCACACAGATGTTGATGTCTCTCTGTGCTGCTAGATGGCAGTGTTTAGCTGTCATCAAACTGAGACCTGATGTCTGATTCACTGTCTGAGCTGCAGCCATGACATATTCAATGTGTTGTATCGTTTGGTGCACTGTTTTAATAAAAATTAAGAATTTATATTTTTGCATAAATAAAATAAAGTCTGTTTTAGGACCATGTGAGACCCTGGACCACGAAACCAGTCATAAGGCTCAATTTTGTGAAATTGAGATTTATGCATCAGCTGAAAGCTGAATAAATAGCTTTCCATTGATGTATGGTTTGTTAGGATAGGACAATATTTGAAAATCTGGAATCTGAGGGTGCAAAAAAATCTAAATATTGAGAAAATCATCTTTAAAGTTGTTCAAATGAAGTTCTTAGCAATGCATATTACTAATCAAAAATTAAGTTTTGATATATTTACGGTAGGAAATTTACTAAATATCTTAATGGAACATGATCTTTACTTAACATCCTAATGATTTTTGGCATAAAAGAAAAATTGATAATTTTGACCCATACAATGTATTTTTGGCTATTGCTACAAATATACCCCAGCGACTTAACACTGCTTTTGTTCGCCAGGGTCACATATGTGTTTATTATGACATTATTTTCATGGCAATTAAATCAAATTTGACCAATAAGTTCTCATTATTGTAGTATACAGTATGCGATTTAAATATATCATTTAAATTAGATTTTAATTTAAAAAATCTAATGAGAATTTCACAAGTGAAAATCTGGACACATTATGGTAAAAATGAATAACTTTTGTAAGTGAAAGTGTGCTTAATTGTCGAAATCAAGTATGTCTAATCATAATATAAGATCAAATATATGTAGTTGACAATGAACAACTACAAATAAGCTGATTTATTTACAGTAGAGTTTATTTGAATGTACACTACTGGTCACAAGTTTGGAATAATAAAGATTTTTTATTGTTTTTGTAGGAAGTTTTCTCTGCTCGCTAAGGCTGCGTTTATTTGATCAAAAATACAGTAAAACAGTAATATCGTGAAATATTATTTATAAATCAGCATATTAGAATGATTTCTGAAGATCATGTGACACTGAAGACTGGAGTAATGATGATGAAAATACAGCTTTGATCACAGAAATAAATTACAGATTAACAGATATTCACATAGAAAACAGTTATTTTAAATGGTAATAATATTTCACAATTTTTATTCTATTTTTTCAGCCTTGGTGAGCAGAAGAGACTTCTTTCAGAAACATTAAAACTCCTTAATTATTCCAAAGAGTTAACCAGTTTTATCTATCTATCTATCTATCTATCTCATTTTTTATCTATTTATGATTAATTTGTATTATATATATATATATATATAATTAATACATTTTTTATTTCTTTATTATTTTACACATTTTTTCCCAGTTTATTTAATAGTCATATAATGTAAATATGGCTCAGGTTCCTCCTTCAGTGTGCGTCTATGGGATTTTTTTCACCAGTTTTCTGGTCCAGCAGGTGAAAATGATGCATCTTGTCACTTAGTAAAGTAGCAGCACACTGTCCTCAGCAACATGCATGATATTCTGCTCAACATTGTTTAATAAAACATTGATTCAAGTGCACGTCATTTACTGTGTGCAGACATACAGACGGTGCAGTCCAGTGCGAGTCCATTGTGTCCCTTTAATTCCATGCTGTATTTTACGCTCTTTTAAAGCACAGATCGGACTATTTATGAGCGCAGCTGTTATTCATTGCAGAATACAGACTATAATAACAGAGAACAGAACCGGCTGTCTTGATCCTCAGTGTGTCGATTTCACTGGGAGTCTTTAATGTGTCTTACCTGGAAATCTGTCCAAATAAAGAGCAAAATGCCTCAAACCCTGCTGTTTTTCTTCATATTCACTCAACAGCTCTTCAACTCTCTGGATGTTTGATATTCTGGTTCATATTTCACTCCAAAATCAAAATACGGAAGTGAAGTTGTATTCTTGCGTAAATAAAATAAAGTCTATTTTAAATGCATTTTCTTGCCTTTTGACATTTTCATGACAATTAAAACACATTTTACTCATAAATTCGCATTACTGTAATGTGATTTAAATATTATTTGCTAATTTGCTAAAGACATCGCAATAACGAGAATTTATTGAAATGACTTCTGGAAGTGTAACTGTGCTTAATTGTTGATTTTTAATGGCTTCATTCATTTTCCTTATGCAAATATGAATATATATATATATTTTTTTCCTCAATATTAGGATTTAATGTGTAATGTTTTCTTGAGTTTCACCCATTCGGCCATTTAAAAATATATGTTTGTTGTTTTTCCGAAATGGTTAATAGATTGTAATTTTTAGTTTGTTTTGGTTTCCTCAGAGGTATTTTCTGGTGGGCAGTAATAACGCTCAAACGAAACATCGTGTCCTGAAGATCGACCGCACTGAACCGCGAGATCTGGTCGTTATTGATGATAAGGTGAGCTGCTCACAATCTTCACAAACAAGGCAACATGAAATTATGTTTCAACCCATTTTACTTTTACATTTTAAACCTTTTTTTTTAATATTTGTATATAGCTTTAATTTATATTTATTTTAGTTTTAGTCAAAATTGTTGTGTTTTGTCATTTTTATTATTAGTGTCATTTCATGTTTCTTTGTAGCTTTAATTTGTTTATTTTAGTTTTAGTAATATTTGCTTTGTCTTTTATTAGTTTTAACTTTATGTTAGTGTGTAGCTTTAATTTATATTTGTTTTAGTAATTTTGTTATGTGCTTTTGTCATGTTATTATTTTTTGTTTGCTATATTTCTATGTAGATTTAATTTATATTTATTTTAGTTTAGTGTTAGTAATTTGTTATGAACTCTAAAGTGCATAATATTGTGCACTTTTGTCATTTTTATTAGTTTTTTATATTTTATTTTAGTTTTATGAATTTTGTTATGTGCTTTTGTCTTTTTAGGTTTAGTTTTTATAGCTTAAATTTATATTTATTTTAGTTTTAGTAATTATGTGCTTTTGTTGCCAAGGAAACATTTAAAAACTTTGTTTTATGTTTATCATCTCATATTTTATTTTATATTTTATTTTATTTTAAATATTGTTTTTTTTACTAAATCACTGTTCACTCTGTGGTGGAAATAACATATTAAACCTTTTTGGAATAAAATGTCCAACTTCTTTGCTCTTTTATTAAAGGGGTCATCGGATGCTACATGCACTTTTACAAGTTGTTTGAACTGAAATGTGTGTTGGCAGTGTGTGTACACAACCACCCTATAATGATAAAAATCCACCCAGTGTTTTTTTTATCTACTAAAATCTTTACCCCTTTCTCAAATCGAGCCGATCTCAGATGCCTGTCTGTGTGACGTCACAAAAACAGGCCCCTCCCACGATAGTTTGATTGACAGTAGCGTTTCAGCACAGACTGGACTGG